AAGATGCCGACAAGACAATAAACTAACAGAATACATAATAAACTGAAGGTCTCAATATATCAAGGATGAAATTGGGTTAAAAGACATGGTTGACCCTGTATTTGACAACGAGCTCGTAACACAGAATGCATCATTTATATGCAAATTTTAAACGAGCTTTGGTTTTCAATTATATACTTTGTCCACAGGTAAACCAGTCATTGTTCACCTGAGAACTTGTTTGAACAAACTCCCCTGGACAACAGTCTCGTGCGCTTCTCTGGCTTGCACCAACACGTGTGGTATCAAGTTGCTTTTTGTTGCGTTTTCCTTGGAATATTTATAAACGATTGCACCCACTGTTAAGTGCTGTCGAATGATAAAAGGAATACTTTCTCGAGCAGGTAAGTAGCAAGTTGGTCGAAATGATCAAAGACAGGGTGTTGAAATAATTTATAAGATGCATGGCGGTTCGTATTTCTCTTGAAACGCCTCGATTCGTAAACATTAAAACCGCGGGACATTTGTGATTATAAACATGCACCCTATCAGTAAATCCTTTCTCCCTTTTCCCCTTATTCGTTGACACCTTGAACAGGATCTCTCCCCTGCCTCGATTCTTCTCAATCGTAAACAAATCCGTACCATACGCAGATGGCAAAGAAAAACGATTTTCTTATTTTTTGTTCTAAAATAAAATGACTTCTATCAGATTCATCAGTAATATATCGCGATGTTTATATGAATCAGCTTCGCAGGCTTCAAAACATTTCCAAATAAAACTGTCAGATTGCGTTGGTTTACCAATAAACGCCGACGTGTTCTTCAGTAACTTCCTACAACATAAAGTCTTCACTTCTTAAATTTGCATATCATCTTTTAACCTGCTGTAGCCACAGAAACATTTCTTCCTAGCTTTGCAGTCGCATGAGATTTGAGAGAGAAAGATAGAAAGAAAATAAAAAAAACCATTAATTCTGTTGCTACGGGGGTAAGATTACAGTTGGAAGAGAAAAAATGAAAAAACTATGATAGAAAAGTAATATTTATTTGTCGCTGCCAAAAATCGTAATTTTACAGTGTAATAAGTGAATGTTTTCAAAAAACATATGACTGCTGAGAAGGATGACTACAAAATATGTTTCACTTGAAAATATTATGTTATTTTTTATTCTACGTTTATTCATTTATTTATTTTTTATTTTGGACAGGCCGCTTTAGTGGCGAAATCGTGTTTTTAACAGCGCAACATCGGATATCTTTCACCGGGCCGTTAAATAATGTATCGTGGCGTTTATTGAGTGGCCTCAAGGCGACCAGTTGACAGCTGCAAGTAAACGTGCCGATCACTTGTAAATGCCATGGTATCAACCAATCACATCCGTCAATGCTTACGGCGCATGAATAAATATACCTATGATATTCCGTCAGAGCTTTCTTGTTTCCCAGGTTTCCAGGTCGTTTTCGATTTATACAGTCTTAACTTCGAGATTCATCGCTGATTATAATTATGAATGAAATCTTGCGTACTCAACATGACTGTATGTGAAAAGTGATGAAGATCCTACGCTAATTTAGTCAAAGATTCTGATTCCTTGATTTATATAACTAGTCTCACTCCATTTACTGTAAGTTTACTAGCTATATGTTGATTAGTTTTCTCTCTTTTAATCTACGTAACGAACTTCGGACAATTACCCGAGAGAGCCCCATTGTTCCCGTGACAGCCCCGTGACGGTCAAGAAGGACATGCCCGTGACAGCCTTCACAAGGTGCTCGTCCCGGGGTGCTCGTTTGACCGTCACGGGTTTTCCGCTAACATCATATCGATTCCCATTGTTCTAGAAATTTATTTATCCACCTACCCAAAAAACAAGTTCAATTGCAGCTTGCTAAATTTCAGTTTCGACATTTCTTCATTTCACTTTTGTTGAATGCGCTTGATTTAAAATTCAAATTGCCACAAGGAAAAATATTCCACGATGTCAAGATTATTATCGAAAATGAAAATTCTCGGAGTTGAGATCCTGGTTTGAACCTTCGTCTTGGCATTATAATTAACGGTTAAATGCTGGTGAAGAAGATTATTACGGGCCACGTAAGTTGGATAAATCGCCGAGATCCAGACTGTAATGGATATACTTTATTTTCATACACAAGTCGACGAGTTGTTTAAATTTACTATTTTTCGTTAAATAGGATAGTGCAGTAATTGAAGGTAGGAGTTGTTTACTTTTAAATCAATGCTCCAAGCAACCACTAGGTTTGTCATTTCAGCGATGATTTATCAGGGAGCTTAAGCAAAGACGACGGAGACGCCAGAAACGACCCACAGATGGGTCTATATTTCAATGGATTTATAATGAATTTATATTTTACCTTCGAAATTCGTTCCTATCTGAACCTGTTGAGATCTGAAAACCTGCTCAAACTAAATATGTAATGCCAGCGATCGATTCTCAAACGCAATGCAAAAAAATTTGTCCCCGTGGCCTACGTTCTCCATGATAAGCTAAACTTGGTCATTTCACGTTGTTGTTTAGTAGAGGACGGCTACAAAATGTACAAATATTTAAAACGCACGGGCATAGCCATTGTTCCGCTCAGTAAATTTTTTGTTTGGTGACGTTTTTGTTACCGTTGCCGTCGTGGTTTGCTTAAGCTCCCTATCAGGAAATACCTTCGAAATACTCACAGAGATCCAACCAGATTGAACACTGTAATGGAGTTCTCGCTATTTATTCTATTTAAAATGGAAGACAGTTAAACAAAAACTACAGAAGTCACATTGGCCATTTACATATCGAACAAAGTTAACTTTCGCTTTCTTTTTCAGTGAAATAGAAATATGGATTCGTTTGGGAAAGAAGCTCTGGAAGCCCACAACAACTTTAGAAAAGCTCATCAAGCTCCTCCACTCACATGGTCCAGCGCCCTTGCACGAGACGCCGAGGCATGGGCCAAGCAAATTGCGCGCGAAGGCCGACTACGCCATGACGACACGAAAGATGGCGAAAATGTTTTTATGGTGTTTGGGCGGGAAATTGACGGTAACGACGCTGTAAACAGCTGGTACAGCGAAGTGAAAGACTACAACTTTAGCAAATCTGGTTACCAGTCGAACACCGGTCACTTCACACAAGTCGTTTGGAAAGGGAGCAAAGAGCTGGGAATAGGCAGGGCTAAGAGTGCCGACGGGAAGGTGTTCGTGGTAGGCCGTTACAGGCCGGCGGGAAATAACATGAGGGCTTTTAAAGAAAATGTCTTCCCGTCAAAGGCACGTGAGGTGGATAATACTGATAATAATAGCCCTGATAGCCCTGGTATTGCAGCGAACTTCACTGGATTGTGTAATGGGGGAAACTTTCACTGCAAAAGGAAGGAAAAGCAACTCTTAATATTAAACGAAAGAGGAACATAATTAATGGCATGGTGTTTTATTGCTATGCATTTTCTCTCATTTTACTCTTTTTGCTTTATTTTTTAGTTTGTTCGCATTTCCTATTTGGTATCTTTTTTTAACATCACTCTGGTTGCTGAAACAGACAGTAATTTCTGTTTAATTGTGAAAATATAACCTACTCCTTTTGCAGGACGGGCCAGTAAAAATTCCCGAAAAGGAACAGTCTAAGAAATGCTCCACACCTGTGCACCAGCGGCAGAAACACGAGGAACGACCTACTGGAGCTGGCGAGCATCGTAGAGAGGAAACGGTGAGGAACTTATAATTAACAGTTAGACCCGTAGCCCGGCTTCGCCTCATGGGCTATTGACCCGTGGCCTTTGAGTGCGAAGGGTCTAAGGGTCTAATCAGCAAATGCAAGTTGAAGAAATATTTATTTCGGAATAAAACGAAAGAAAGCGTAACGCTCGATTGCGCCAATTTAGCTACTCGAGGACTATTACTAATAGTCCTCTAGTAGCGTAGCCAATTAAAATGCAGGATTTGCATTAGTCCACTAGTTGGGTGATACTAACAACAACTACTCCTACGGACTATTCACCAGAAGTGTTAAAAAATACATTAATAGTCTATTGCATCAACAAACATGTTTCATATTTCTACGTTTCTTGTCATCAGAAAGATAACTCGCTATCATATTTAATACTTCTTCACCCACACATAACTGACGCATGAAAATAAGAATACCAACATTGAAAAGCAAAATGCTGTTTGATTTCAGGTTGTGACGTATCCGGATGGTACTAAGAAGACTGTAGTATCCACGGTAACAGTGACTTTAAAAGGAAATAGTAAGTGGAAGTAATAGTGAGAAAAACAACAACAACAACAACAACACCACAACCAACCAAACCAACAAACAAACAGAGGAACCACTAATTGTGTCGCGGTCGTGAACGAGTTACGGTTTGAGATCAATGTCATCTTGCCGTTCCTAGTGGGACTGTTATATTCGGCACAGAACAAAGATGAGAAGCCAGGCATATTGTCGCTAGCAGCGGTACAGTCCTACAAGGGACCAGATTTCTTATCTTTTCTACTGTGATGACATCTGAATCAATAAAATACCAATACATCCGTGCTAAGTATACGGGCGACGAGAATACAAGCATTAATCGACCCCAGGGACATGCGGCGCTGCTTGGAACTAATTTATATGAAAATCTATAACAAAAACAGT